AGGAAGGCCCAGGATAGAGTGGGTTGGAGAATGCTGGTCTGCAGCCTATGCTCCATTAGGAGTAACTGACGTAAGTAAGCAAGTAAGTAAGTAAGAAATACTTTGATTATATTTTAAGGTGTTTACTTGAAATTTTAACTCAAAAAGTCAATTCCTACTTATAACTCTAAAATATTCTGTTAGTAGCATTTAACGTAATATTTTTTGATAGTTGAATAATTTACTTGAGAAATTTACTTCATTACACATACTTCAATATGAAGTTTGTTGATTACTAGTTAATTACAAAACATTTCTAGTATTGTTTTTTTAATAATTTAAATCATCTGCTTACTTCATTAGAATAAATTGGAATTAATTATCTTTTATTGAAAGTGAAATGTGTTTATAAAGATGTTTCCATCTACTTTAGTTATTTTATCTTTGTGTATTGAAATATAAACATAAATTTCTCTAACGGGAAGAGTTTGTATGGTGTCTAATATTGGAATGGAAGACACACGTTTTGTAGTATTTTAGACCTCTCAGCTGAATGTACCTGCATCCCATGTTCATTCTGACCTTTGAACTCAGCACCGTTATCATCAAACGCCACCATGTCGAGCTCTAAAACCAACTCTTGGATGAAGGTACTTCTAGATGGCAAGTGTCAAAAAGGAACTTAACGCGCATACAGCATTCCTCTGATAGTCACCATCCAACTCTGCAGCAATCCTCATAACCTGAAGACATCACCGATACAATCTGGACGGGACGCGCATGCTTGCCTGAAAAAGACTGATCATTTACAGTTTTAAGCACCAACAGGAAGATTAAAACAACCAATAGAGATAAATCAAAGTTCTCTTTGTTTGTATATACATATAAACATATGGCCCTATCACTATCACCATGTATAGATATATTACTATAGTAAAATCTGAATACTGAAAATATTGGCTGAAAATGCGAAGCATGTATAGCTAGTCATTCATAATCGCTTATTTGAGGACTGTCCCTCAATAAGTTACTTACCTTTAAATCATGTCAATTCACACTACAAATATAACTCCCTTCCCTTTCATTGGGATTTGTACTCTATTTCATCACATGTACTTATTTTAATTATGCATTCATTTCCCCATTTGGAAATATATAATTAAGGCAAGAACAAAATCTGCAGAATATCATATATTCACTATATCTATAGGCTTCTCATCAGTTGAAATCGGCTTAAATTTACATTTGTATTACTATTTTAAAAATTTTACTGACCATGATCAGTGGAATTTAGTTTGAAACAACATGGTAAAGTAGTCAACTTCATTCATGGAAATTAAGGAACGAGATAAATTGTACAACATGTCTCTAGTATTCATCGCCGTACATTTAAACAATCAAAACATTCAGGTATTTTTAGTTGTTGTCATTAATTTTACTTAATAGGTAGTTATGAAATATTTGAAGAATATATGCTCTAGCTCGGATGCCAAATGAGGTGGAATGTAGTTCTTTACAGGCGTTTAGTCACCTACACGGTACAGTATAATTACTGGGTGAACCTTTTACGTTTGCATGAAGGATAGTGGGTGTTGTCTACCCTATACTTGTATCCTTGAGACATGTGTTGGAACGTCCCAGAGGCACATCAATATCGAGAACAACACGATTGGATGTCACGACGTATTTTAGTAATCTAGTGATTACTCACCAACATTTGTGACTTAAAGTTGACCCAGTCTTAGAAATTTTGTCTGGTTCCAGGCATGTGCTTTCCTATTTATTTAGGTGTACTGTCGTTATTTTTTAGTAGCTCCATGTCTGACTCCAGTTAAATCGTCTTGTGATTTTATTTAATATATACATTCCGCCAACCATCGTATTCTTTAATCGATCCAAATAGCGATAGTGAATCACGGAGTTAAATACGTCGAATACGAGAATGAACTTTGAATAAGTATGTTTCATACAACTTTTGATCTGAACAAGTAATCAGAGAGACGAAATGGAGAAAGTGGAGTGAAGAAAAACGAAACGAAGTGACTCGCAGCGGAGGAGGCGAGTGGATCAACTCATTTTGATCAGGAGTGATTCAATATTTGTGTTCAGACAAAAGTAAGTTACTGACATATAATAACTAGAGTGAACAGTTGACACACATACGATCATATGAAAACAGTCAGGATTAATAGGCAAATAACTGACAAGGTCAAAATGTGGCTTGAGAAGAATGGATAAATCAGTATGCTCAGAAGTTAGAATAGCTTATGTCGGCTTGACAGAGTACCAGACAATAAAATCCCTTTAAAGCAACGAACCACTAGTAAAGTCTGAACTTCATCATACGTACAGCTGAAGATCGAAAAATATCACAACGGAGACCCAGATGTTTTAGTTTTCGGCAGTGGTAGTGATATTATCAACAGCTTTTATAGCCTTCGTAACTATATCAATAATGCATTTTGTCGGGATTTAAGACTCAACTGAGGTGAAATCTACTTGCTTACGCCCTTCCTTACGCTTGTTATCCCTCGCCAAAGAGCATAGACCGCCCGTCAGCACTCTCCATCTAATTATTTTCAGTTGATATTCATCCTTTTCATATCTGCTTACAGTTCTCCACACAGTGTGTTCCTGGGATTTCTCTTTTCCGTTTCCTTCCACGATTCCAAGATAGGGTTGCTTCGTGATGCAAATTGGTGATTTTTTATGTTCATGTTCTATTGACTTCCAATGTGTTTTTCTAATTTCCTCTTCAGATTAGAGTTGGTTCGTTCTCTCCCACAGTAAACTGTTGCTCATGGTATCCGATCAACGGACGTTGAGTATCTTGTGCAGACAATTGTTTATAAATACTTATACCTGTTTGATGATGGTTGTAGTATTTCTCCAAGTTCCAGCTCTGTATAGCAGAACTGACTGTCTTGATGCTCGTGTTGAAGATTGTGACTTGGATGTTGGCTTACAGACAGTCGTTTTGAGTTCGATATACTCTTCAAATGTAGGGATGCGATCCTTGCTTTTCCAATCCTCCTGAAATCTACTACTTTGGGTTTATAATACTAAATAATACTACCAGAACACACTTTAAAATTACATCTGACGTCATATTATAACCATAGAATAATAGCTGTTTGGAATCTCGGTGATCGGTTGAGTCAGTTCTAAATCTGATTTTATTTTCTGTACATAAGTATTTCAACTGATGTATCGCTATAAAAAGGGGAATGTCATCAAATTATTTTTGTTCCTAGTTGTTAATACTAGACAATTGTAGAATGAGATATGAACTAATTCCATAATAAAGAGATGTTTTTTACATATTAAGTGAGTGTTTCACAGGGTAGATTAATCAATGTCTAGGGTCCATGTTTGTTGTTTTAAGAATAGAAAATATCTGACATCATCAATGAATGATTTACTACGAAATTAATAAATATATGTTTGTCTTTTTATTCAACTACGAAGTGATAAAACGTACGTGCCGATACGTCACTTTCATCGAACAAACTACTTATATCTATCATTATTATTACTATTATCAAATAAATAATAAATAAATAAATAATATACGGTAATTAAATCTAATTTCTGTAGTAAATTCTCAAATTATATTCATCGACCGAATATAATGTAGCTAGTTATAAGTCAATTTCAGTAAAAAAAATATGATTTGACAATGAAGTTTTTTTTTCTAGTCTAATTAGATTGTTCTCTATTAATCTTCCAAATAGTTTGAATTTTTGTTCCGGTTAGCGTTTTTTTAGGGAGTTAGTTTTCTACGGGATGTGGTCGCTAACCCCATGCCCAACCCTCCTCCTCATTTACCTGGGATTGGGACCGGTAGTACCCCCAGGGGGGTCCTAGGCGGAGTCTTTTTAACACAAACATTCTTTTCTTTCACTATCAAAGGCGCTAACTTAGTAACATGATTTGTTTTGTTTGAATTTCTCGTCGACTTATTCATTATTCAGGTTTTATGCTTATTTATTTCCTTGTTCAACATTCCTTTATGTAAAGATATTACTTGACAAAATTAATAGATGCTTATCTGACAAAGTGAATTGTTTGTAATTTTGGCAAAAAAATCATTCAGAAATCAAAGATAGTTACTATTATTATTAATGGCTTTAGTCAATATTATATTCTCAGCACAAGGTATTTCAACAAGTTTCTTTTACGAAAAAACCACCACAACAACATAAAAGGAAGGAAAAAGGTGAAAAAAATCTGAAACTGAACAACTTTCCAGATTAAAGACATGTTTAAGAATACAGGTTATTGACTAGGTTAATTCTAACAACCTGTTCTCACAGAGTATATTTGTTAGGTAAGGTATTATAGAACTTTTATACTTTTGCTTGCGTGCATGGATTTTTATGTAATTACGTCTCGTTCTACCGGAAAATAAATAAAGAAAAAGATATAGGTGAAGGGGATGGTTAGTATCTGATGAGATAACACTTGCCAGGAGTTTGCATGACTTTTAACAATTTGTTTGAAATATCATGCTCAAGATAATGATTTGATTTTGTTTTGGTTTTTTTCTTTTATTGAATAAATGTTTTAGCTTATAGATGATTTTGTTTTATCAAAGAATAAACCAATTTCAATAGTTGAGATCATGAGTCAATTGAAGCTAAACCACCATGGAAAATCCGGAAGAACTGGACAGCTGTTTCGTCCGAGCATGGGACTCCTCAACAGTGTCCATCCACGATTCCACCCCGCGAAATTCGAACCCAAGACCTATTGGTCTAAACCACTTAGCGGACATCCGATGTTAATGTTTAACTTCAACCAATCCACGAAATTGAGCGACAAATTTTCTATCTCTTTGTTAATCGTATCACATATTTATGTTTTTCAAGCAAATCAATTAAGGCATCAATATTTTACCTGCAAGTTTCAGTACAATAATGTAAGCATGACATGATATACTGTGCATTTATATTTATAATAATTCTTTCAAAAGTGCTTCGTGTAATGAAACTGCCTTCCAGAGAGACAGACAGACAGACAAACCATTCGATATGGCTCTATGTGTATTCTACATTTATATAATCGTTTGCTGCATAATAACTATTGAACAATGAGTTACGTTGGTATTTATCTATAAAGTTTGATCTCAGATATTTGTACTCGTTATTTATGCTTCATAAATTAGCTGCATGATGAATATAATGAACAAATAAAATATTTAAATATATTTATAAATAGTCACTAATGAAGATTTTATTTCTATATTTAATCTGATTACATCTGACTATACTGAAGATGAAATATCACGAGATTCTGGAAACATCGTAATCTAAACAAAATTATTATCTTGGAGATTTTCAAAGACAATCACAGACGTTAGCTTCGTTATACGATTGAGCAAAATTACTTGAATAAGCAATAGCTGATTTTAAGTGAATGTTTTTAAGCTAATGAATCCAATCAACTCTTTTGAATTATAATAACTGACTAAGGAAATGATATACAGATTAATCATTCTTTGGCATAAATTCTACCCTATACACAAGATTGGACAGTGTCTTACTTTAAAAGTGAGTTAGACATGAAAACATCATATCTGGATGTTTTGAGTAACTGAAATTTATTCCATTTAATTTATTCATTCTAATGGTCAGTTATTATGTAGTTGTGAAGGACAAATTTTAGTTGACAAAAAAATATTTTCGTCTGTAGGAAGTTTTATAAGCAAAATCAATTTATTAGAACATACACACAGACAAACACAAACAAAACTCCATTCTACTAGGAAGAATCGAAAGAATAACTACACATGATAAATCCAAAAGACAAAAAAACAAAAACGAAATAGGTCGATGTCTACAATATGAAAGATCTATTTTTAATAACTCGTGTATAGGACAAAGTGAAAATTAGTCGTTATTTGACATGTTAATGAAGATCACATTTTTTCCCTCTTAAAACATATGTCTCAAAACTAGACAGAAATATGTCGTAAAAGCATATTCAAAGCAAAATGTGGAATTTTTTGTTGTTTTTTTGGTCTTGAAATTCGAAACTCTGCTGAAGACTTTATGTGATAAATATTTTGCACCCTAGTTGTTATGGTTTCGAGATGGTGGAGAAAATTTGTAGCTTAGGTGGATGATTTTGTTGTTGTTGTTATGGTTAATTTCACCAGGTTACATATTTTTTTTATTTGTAGACATTTCAAAAAATTGAAAAACATTACTTCCCACCACTAAGTAGAAAAACAATGAAAATTTTGTTGTCAGTTTTATTATTATTAGAATATGTTATACATTTCTATGATATTGTGGTATTTGTACGAACTAATGATTGATTTGTACATGATTGTACGTTGATTACCAATTTCAAATATAATACAACATTCATTTGTGCATAACTAGTTCTACCTGATATAACTTACTTTATTTTGGGGAATTATTAGTTTGTATATTATTTCGAATACTTTCAAGTATCATAGATCCCATATTCAAATTTTCTTTTAGTATCTAAATGTTTATTTAACTAAAACAAGAGTTTTTATTAAACGAAGTGATTCATTTATTTAAAACAATTAGTCTCTGTGATAAATTTGAATAATACAATGAGAAGACGAAGTTTATCAGAATTATGTGATATACTTGCACAATACACTTCGAACAATCTGATCACACATATATTTGTTAAGACATTTTTATATGAAGAATAAAACGTCGATTAGACAGGTTAAAGGTAAGCCGTAACAAAGAAAAAAAATAATAATAAAGTATCAGAATGGGTTTCGTGGAGACTTTTAGAAATTTCACTGGTTTAAATCATGAGTCAATTGAAGCTAGACCACCATGGGAAAGCTGGAAGCACTTGATGGCCGACCAATCCTAGTATGGGACTCCTTAGCAGTGCGCATTCACGATCCCGCATCCCGTGAGATTCGAACCCAGGACCTATCAGTGTCGCGCCAGGCGCTTAACCAACTAGGTCACTGAACTGGCCGGCATCCAACGGTGTTAATGTCTAACTTCAACCAATCCACGAAGTGGCGCCACCGTACACCATTGTCTTCAATGAGTTCCTATCTCACAACAGACCTTGTTGAACTCCACTGGTAACGACTTCTCACTAGAACTCCAGGAGTATCTCTTGAAGTCAGTCACTAGTAATCAGGTGATTATTATTATGAGAATGGTTTTTGTGGAGAATTTTAGAAATAATAGGACGAAACGGCCGTCCACTGCTTCCACGTTTTCCGTAGTGGTCCAGCTTCAATTGACTTATGATTTCAACCAGTGAAATAATAAAGTACACAAAAACAAAATGGTGACCACTTTTGATAATAAATCAGTATTACGAGGGTAGGTGAAGTGTAGGGACAAATTGTTTTTGAACACATAAATGAGGTTTCAATTTTCGAATAGTCAAGGCTTCAATAGGTCTTGGTATACATCCTTGAAGGCTTTTGTATAACACTACAAATGTTGACTTGATATCAACCTTATGACCAGTCTCAATCAAGTGTTTGGCGATGGAGGATGATGTCTGTTTATCCTGTGATCTTATTTGACCATTGAGATTCATTTGTTTCTGCAGCCATTTTGGTATGTGTTCACCCACCTTTAATTGCAAACCATGATTGCTCCTCCCTATGTTTAAGTGTTTTCGCATATACATGTAAATTGATAGAGATAATGGGATATAACATAATCGCTTACTTGGTGTTTGGATTTTTGGTGAAACATAGACCTTGTCTTTTTATTAATGACCAGCTGGGCTGCATAGAACGTCCGGTTGATGGCTAATTTGAGTCTCCGTTTCAAAATGAATCTATTTATGTCGCTTCTTTATGGTAACATAATGTAAACTCACTTTTATTTCTTATTTTGTTCACAATTACATACTGAACATACATGAATAATAGTAATAGGTAGTGGCAAGTGGGTTTGTATTTGAGTAGAAGGTTAACTTTTTCCAAGTTAGCTTATTTTGTTAATATTGAATTTTATTGAGGTAACAATGAAATATTTACGGTTTATCTTATGAGAATTTTATTAAACTAGTTATCTTTTATAGTGTCTATTTCTTGTTCAATGTTGGATATGCATGTTCACTGTTGAGGGGTCCCACAATAGGACGAGACGGCCGTCCAGTACTTCTAGTTTTTCCATGGTGGTCTAGCTTCAATTAACTCATGATCTTAACCATTGAAATTACTATAATATTCACAAAACCCATCTGATATTAACAAATATTACCTCAATGTGAGATGGTAATTACAGATCATAATGTAGCGTGCAATATACTACGTTAAACTTTACTTTCATATGTTATGCTCTTCATGAATTAAACTCACTTGGTATATTATTGTTTTTTTTTGTATCTTCCTATTGTTGTTTAGCGCTGCAATTGATCGGTCTCTTGTTGACAGATGTTCATCTTGTGTGGATTGCCTCGATATTGCCTTAAGTCACAAGCTTTGTAAGCATATTTTTTTTCAATCAAACCAAGAAATCTATATCCGATAAGTAAAAGCTAAAGAGAATTACTGAAGTGATACAGTATTTAAACCGAACTTTACATATTCACTTGTGTTATAAAATGCAGAAAAATTATGTGAATGATTAGAGTGAGAATAAAGTTGATAAAGGAAATAATAATAATAATTATTATTATAAGTAATAGTAGTCATTACTAAGAGCATCGTCCATTATCTATTATATGTATTATACATATTAGGAAACCGTTAATCTGCACTCGATATTCCAGATATTACGGATTATTTCCATAATTAAAAAAAACCCAGCGATATTTAAACTACATACATGTGTTATAGGCAAAGAGAGATTATGGATAACAGTGCAATCCATGACGCACGTTTCTTCTTAATTGGAATTTGTCAGTTGGATATACTTGGATGTATCACCCATCTCTGCGTAGACTGAAGGGATTATCGAGGTATTCTCCATGAGATGGACGCATTCCGTATAGAGACTGATCAATTACAGTCTTAAACAAGAACTGGAATTTTTCAGACAACCAATGTAAATAAATCACATACTAATATGTTATAGTAACAAACTGTGAGTTATTTGAATACAGAAATTTTTAGGCACACAATAAAAGCATTTTTAATAATTCAATAGTTTTTTCATGGTAAAGTTAATTCATACTCTGAAAATTAAGGAATATAGTCAAATGAATCGATGTTGTTCGAATAAACACATACACGCGTATACAACTAATTATTGCATTCAATCGAGAACAATTAATCTTAGCTTCCTGTATTAGATATGACTGAATATCATATAGACTAATTATAAACAGATTAGTTTGAATAAAACTATCATAGACATGACAAAATACCAGGTATAATAAGCTAGTTGAAATAAATAGATTTCGTCTTGTAATGCACAGAGGAGATAAATACAAGATTTTTAATGAATAATTAAAAATTTTAAGAGCAAATAAAAAGTAAATACAAACTATACTGTAATATTTTCTTAAGTATTTAAGTAACTTTCTAAAGTACAATTTAAATACAAACTAAGTGGATAACGCGATGGCGTTTGAAGTGAACGGTACTGAGTTCGAGTACCAGAGTGAACGTCAACACTACAATGCGAGTACATCCAGCTGACGAGTCCCGAATAGGACAAAACGCGTGTTCTGGATTCTACTGCTAACCACTATCCATTACAGATTATGTCTCTAAGATGAATTTCCTTTTGAGTGACCACATAAGATCCAAGTTAGAAAAAATAACAAAGACTTAACTGATTCCATTGAGAAAAGAATCACGAAAGTACTCAGAGATCTCCTGAAAAAGATGATCGTTAATTCTACTTACAATAACAAACTGCACCAATCTTCGTTATTGCTCTCTTTAAAATAAAAAAAATGAGTATGTCATAACTGACTACCATAAATTAGGAAGCTTTTGAATGTGTTTTGGTAAGGATAAATTTCTCTGGCTTAGTATAAATACATAAATTACATCTTTCTGATGTGCTTTTTCTCATAGCAAGATCTATCTGCTACATCCCATGGTTAATATAAAGTATATTTAGGATGTTTTGATTTTAATTCAGTAAAACTTTTGAACAGTTTTGTTAACTAAGAACAACAGGTTAATTATATAGAAAAGATTAAGTGTGGCTAGCAATGGAATACAGGAAACACAGTTTGTCCAATTTAGACTTGTCAGCCGGATGTATCAGCTAAAGCTAATCAAAATCCAATCAAAACACCAACAATGAGATAACCTAAATCATTACAAATTGACATAAATTAACTAGTATTCTTGTAACTGACAATTTGAAGTTGACAGCTGCGATATTTCTGGTGACTAGAAATAGACGGTGATGATAGTCCATTCATCATGAATATTTAAAATTCGGCACTGGAAGCAGGATGTATCCATAAATTATAAGAGTTTATTTCATGGATGTGACTTATATGAATGAATCCCGAATAATATTGCATTAATATTAAAACGATATAGGGGGTTAAACATTTAAAACTTATTACATTAGCTTTATTTAACCAATTATGGGCCACTATTAATTATTCTTTAGACAACTCAAATTTGTTTCAACTAACATACTCTATCCAAACTGCTTTGTAATTCAATCTGGACGTTGGTGATATTTTGGGTTTAGTTTTGTGAATAAAGATTTATCTACTATGATAAAGCTTAGGAATGTGAATTCAACCGTACTTTTAGTCAGTGGAAATACTGAGTTTGATATGTACGATAACATTTTGTAGATAGCAGTTTAACAAACTGTTCCAAGGCTCGTTTCTTTATGTCCTAGTAGACATATATGAGTAATAAATAGTTGTTTACAGGCAATTTTACCATTAAGTATATACGATGTTCTAAATGAAAAACTTAAGCAACTTGAATGGTGTGTAATGAACTTCAGACTAGATTACTATGCTACCAGGACTTCATTTGTCACATCATATTATAATATATGAGATCAAAAATCAAGTCACTTAAAATTACATATCAAAGTTACAATCTGTTTTCATCTAACGAATTACATATGATCAAATATTAGAACATAAATGTTTGGAAGATGTTCACAACATTCTATCAATTAGACAGACGTACTTTCGAGTAACGCCGATAAATAATTCATTATATAGTCATTACGTGAGCGGAACTTAATCATCGTACACTAAACATTTGTAATACTTTTAAAACAAACATTCCATTCGAGTAAGTCACGTTACTATACAAGATGAAGTATATAAAATAGTATTCAGTTTATATAGAAATACATAACTCCTTAAATATTGTTAGTACGAATTATTTAACTTTCTTCACACTATCTGTTTTCGAAATGTAAATTATCAATATGGGTAACAAGATTT